CCGGCCCCGCCGGAGTTCCCAAGCCCCTGGCCCGGCCCCGCCGGAGCCCCCGAGCCAGGCACTGCACCGCCGGCCCGGCCCCCAAGCCCCCGGCCCAGCCCCCGGCCCAGCCCCCCCCGATTTTCCCGGACATGTCCAGCTTTTTGGGCTTTCCCCCCGGACGGGGATTTGGAGCCCAAAAAGCCGGACATGTCCGGGAAAATCCGGACGTATGGTAACCCTAGGCATTACATTATGACAGGAATAGATAAGCGAAAACAATACCAGTAATGTTCCACTAGTTTTCATAAAGTTTAAACATCTGAATACACACTTATACATCTAACCATTACTTTGATCTACACGAGTGAACTGATCTAAATACACTCTAGCGTGACCTGGTCAGCCAGTATCATACCCTCCCCATTCTGTAACAATTGAAAAGAATATTTGGTTTTGGGTAAATTAATTGCCTAATAATTCCTTGAACAACTTGATGCTTATCATTTAAGAGTTGTTTGAAAATATTCCAGATTTCAAGTAAGGGCTGATTCAGCTAACCCTTCGTCTCACAAACAGCTCTGACCCATGTGATGAGTCCCTTAAGGATTACTCTGATGAATAAGGAATTCAGAATTAGGCTCTTTCACTCACATGCTGTTTACCAATACTGCTCTGTAAAAAGTATTCCTTGTTTCCTTACTCAGCTTCTCTTCTTCTCTGTGTTTCTTGTTAAAGACAGACTTTTAAGAGTATTTCAAACCTCAGCCATTGTAGCATCATAATTGATTTGCATAGAAGCTGTGTAATTATCATCATATTGCATATTAAAAGCTGGGATCTATCCCTGCAGGAAGCAAGCGGATCAGACTGGTGAATGGGACAGGTCGCTGTGCTGGGAGAGTGGAGATTTATTACAATGGCAGCTGGGGGACAGTCTGTGATGATTCCTGGGATCTGTCAGACTCCAATGTCATTTGCAAACATCTGGGATGTGGACATGCCATCAATGCAACTGTCTCTGCTCATTATGGGCAAGGATCCGGGCAGATCTGGCTGGATGATGTGAACTGCTCTGGGAATGAATCCAATCTTTGGGAGTGTCCTTCCAGAGGCTGGGGCCAGCACAACTGCAGACACAAAGAGGACGCAGGAGTTCTCTGCTCAGGTCTGGTCCAGGAATGCTCACATGAGCCTGGTTACCAGGGGATTTAATGGAGGGGGCAGACAATTGAGGAGAGAGCTGAGAATGATAGAGCCTTTACCTCATTGTCTCTTCTATATGGTGCCCATACATCCAGTTTTGGCCGGGACAGTCCCTTTTTTAAGCCTGCCATGGCCATCCTGACTGTTTTGGCAAAACAAGTGATCATGACTTGGCAAGAGCAAATTGGACAAATGCACAGTTTTGCAAAAAAAAGTGGGATATGACCCCTAGTGGGATGTGGAGGAACATGTGGGGGTGGGGAGAGTGGCAACACCAGTCCCGCGCTGGAGGGAGGACTCGAGACAGCAGCTTTGGCTGGCCCAGCCCCACATGGGAGGACAGCAGGGGTCTTGTGCCGCCCTGCGCGCAGGAGGGAAGAAGGGGGCCTAAGGCTGGCCTGACACTGGTGGGTGTCAGGGGGGCTCAGGCCAGCCTACGTGCCGAGAGGGTAGGGGAACCTCAGGTTGTCCCTGTGGGGGTGGGAGGCAGGGTGGGCTTACGCTGGCCCCATGTGGGGGGTGAGGGAGAGGAAGGAAGGCCTTGGGGCTGGGCCCCACGTGGGGTGTTCCATTTTCCCTTTTAAAGAAAATGTGATCACTCTATTCTTCTGTGGTCATTATTAGAAAGTCACCATTTCCCATACGTTCCCACCCAGGGGTATTGGAGATATTGCAGCATGTCTCTAGTGTTGGGAGGGCAGGCACTGCTGTATTGCAGGTATCTGTGTGTGGAACTGC